GGGGGGGGGGGGGTCAGGGGGACCCAAAAGAAAAATCTCGAGGTCGATCTCCCGATCTCGACTGACTGAGCTCGAATTCTACGAACAAAGAGGCACGAGCTCCGCTCAGGTTCACGACGCCGATTCGAATGTACTAAAGGCGCGTCCACGTTTCCCTATGTAATCGTTGCGTGTCGCCGTCCTTTGCCGCTATTTCAGTACGTTCGTTATTGTTACTTTTTATAGTATTTTACGTCCTTTTCTTTTGAAACTCTTTTCGATCGTTTAATCGAATCCACGTTCTTGCATTCATATCGAATGCCGAATGCATTTATACCGACCGTCACAAAAAATTTACGCTATTTACAATGAGTTTCTTGCTCGGCGTTGCGTCGTGACGGTTTTTCCTCGTGAAGTTGCGAAGTGACAAGAAATTTTTACTTTTTTTTTTTTTGAGTTTCTTAGATTGCCAATGTACCGACTGCTTTTCTTTGTCACCCGTACGAGGTTTGTCTTTTTATTTTGACAATTTCTTACGCGGTAACGGCCCTAGTGTTTTTCAGGGTAGATTTCGTGGCAATATGGCGGCCGGTAATGGCTGCACAAGACTCCATTAGAGGATGGAGATACGAAAATGGACAAGAAACCATAGACAGTGTGACTACGCAATAGAATGTTTTTGTTACTGGAAAGTGTGCTTTGCTGATACTTTTTTTAGGGAGGTATTTTCATCTAATTTACTTGTTTACCTTTTCTGGGTCATTTATTCATTTTTTCTTTTTTCTTTTCAATGATTTTTACTCACTTTTTTCACGTATTATGATTAGTATGCTCGTTTGCTTTCGTCACGTAATCGTATATGTCCTTTGTTTACTGTTACGTCATAGACACGTGACCCTCAATAAAGTAAGCTACACTGGATCCATCTGCAATACTGTTTCTTTACTGGGAATTTCGACCACGTAAGCGTATCGTAATATGTGACATTAAATGGTGCGGATACGTAGAACATAATATCACATGATTGTTAGAAAATTTGTTGAACTATGAAATCAATGTTGAATCGATCAAATACTCCAGGCACTATCGATCGATCGATTCTCCATCGATCGGTTGGAAATTGATCGATCGATCGGATCGTCCTAGAAAAAAAAAAGAGCAAAACGGTACAGGTTGAAGTAGAATGAAAATTGTTGGGGGAAAAAAATTAGATACAAAAAAAAGAAAGGACATCCGTGAGAATCAATGGCGAAACCGTCGAAATCAAGAAACGTGCGTTTCAGTCGAATTTCTCACGGATATCATCCGTTATAGGTCGTTTCAGGTTGGATAATCTTTTTAGCACGCTTCTCGCGACCAAAAATCCTGCTACGTAGAAATTGCCGAGTATTTTGAAAAAAAAAAATCCAAAAATTCCTTCAAATCTCACAAACACGTAAAAAAATGTATGGTCAGTCTCATTACGACGTGTTCGGAAAAATGATAAATTTCGCCTTCGAAAAGTTACCGGACCGTTTTGAGCAATGGCAGCTCTTGTCGCGCATTTCCAAAACACAATCCTGAAACAAAAGTCACGCATATACAGTAAACAGGGTGCATTAAATTTTTCTGAACTAACCAAGAATCTTGGTAAACCTCGTTGCCGGGACACCGTGGGAACTTTATGACGTTACCGTTGCGGTTTAACCTTCCTCTACTTCCAGTGCTTCTTCTTCGAGTTCTTCCTCTCTCTCTCTCTCTCTCTCTCTCTCTCTCTCTCCTGTTTTGCCCCTCGCCTTCCTTCCTCTCACCTTATAACCGATTACACTCCTATCTGGCAAACCGTGGCTTCTCCTTTGGCATTACGCGATTTGCCAGCGTAAACTGACTTCAGGCTGAACAGGCCAGTCCTAGCGAACGAAGTTGGAACTGGGCGATATGAATTTAAAAAATTTTTTTGGATCCTTGCTATAATTTTTTTTAACGCAAATTTCTGTGCGCACATGCAGTGTTTTTTAATGTTATTTCAATATGCGTCACTGCAGTGGCAGTGATTAGGATAATTATGGAAGTTAGACAATAACAAAACATATGTGTACATATACATATATATTTGCACTACGTTAATGTAGGCAATAAGTAAGATAAGTGGTAAGGATAATGAGGTCTTTGAAAAGTGGTAAAAGCGTGCATTGCGCATGCGCCGTACATAACGGTAAGTGACGCTTAGAAAATGCAAGAAAATTAGAAATTACAATGGCCGACAAGACTCGTTCCTATCGCGTTCGCCATAGGAGGAGCGTGAGAATCGGCGATACGATTTTTCCAAAGGTAAAATAGTTTAGCGATCGTGACTGTACTGCCGAGGTATGACACTGCTGCCAATGTAATAGGATCATTAGCGGATTAATTATTGTATGGATTTAGTAGGAGTGTCGTTAAATTTCTAACTGTCCTCTCGCTCTCTCCCGATCATCAGACTTGTTATTGTCGACGGATAAAGTCTTTACGAAGCAGGGATTTTTTTTTTCGAGTAATAGCTGGTTCGCACTGGAGCGACAAAAATATTCCCAGAGACTTTTATCGCGACCCTCGTACCTTTATCGTGGCTACTTGTTAAATCTTCATATCGGCACTCGGGGCGAAAGCTGTTGAATGCACTTGGATGCACTTAAAGCTAAAAATAGCTAAACGCTCTCATAACTTAACGGGACCGTTGTGTAGATGTATTTTCGAGTGTCTTCCTAGTCGCGGAATGATTAATTGCTTCAACACCGGGTATATAGTTGAGAATTGTATTAAAAATATATTTTCATTTAACCGACTGAGAACTGAACTGAATTTTTGTACCGGAAGTTTTTTTTCTTTGATTTACCTTTTCTTCGATTTCCCGTTTCACTCGTTCCTTTGTTAGCCACGAATTTGGTGCATCCGTACAATTACGAGCAAAGACTTCCTATCGTCTCCGGGCATCCTTATGTGAAGCAGGAGTGCACTTCCGGTGGGAGTCGTGCGGTTTCCGGCATGGCGTCATTAGTCCGTTGGCTTTTGCTTACATATCGATATGCTCAGTGTTACTTGGACTCTTGCGTGAGACGGACGTGCCTTTCTCCTCGTGGCTCGTGTTTTTATTGCGATTCTCGTGTATCGAAATTATGCGAAATTTCAGGACGATTGGCAAAATCGTTTTCAAAATTGTATATTGGGTCAAGGGTGAAAATTTTGAAAAATCGAAATAGCTAATCGCCAATTTCACAGGATGCAATGTTCTGAAAGTTATTCGGAGGGCACATTTTTTTTTGAAAATTCGACACTTAAAAATTTTCAAAAAATGAAGTTGCGACGTGGACAAGTGGGACGGGCATTCAGAGGTGGATTTTATGTGCTTTTTCTAATAATTTATTAAAATTGAAAAATGTATTATTCAAATGAGCACGAATTAATTTTTTTTTTTAATTTTCTGTTACAGCACCCAGATCATCCAGTGCAGGGACGAACAACCTACCACCCCTGACCTTTCACCAGGTTCATGGTGACAACATAAGACTGTGCAATGGCGGCACCATTGCCAGGAGACACGAGAGCTTTTGCAAGGGCGTCACCTTCAGCGCCAGACCCGTCCGTGTTGGTGAGAAGGTAAGGAACTAAAAAATTTTACAAAAATCTATAATCATTCGAATTTCGGGGGAAGGGGGTTTCCCCAATGAATTAAAAAAAGAAGCGAGAAAATTCAAATATTTATGCTCCATACTATATTTTCTTATTCGTTAAACGATTCGCATATATGACCCTCACTGTCGCCCACGTGCAATCGCATAGGCTGTCGCTTTAGCCTGGCGCTATTCCACACGTCGACACGTTATACCTTAGGCATCGTTAATTTATCCATATTGATATGCCATGTGTGGGCGACACGGCATAGATCACAAGACCTGCGGCCACCATTGGAAACTTGTTAATAACCTGAAAACAGTGTCAACATAATGCTGGCTAATTCGAGTAAGACTAGAACAAAGGCGTAGAGCGCCGGGAAGAAGAGTAAATGTTGCGCAATAGGGTTGAGCTATGAATCGAGGATAGAGGCATAGAGATGAAAAATATAATGATAGACGAAACATAGTAAAAGGAGTCGTAAGGCATAGTCGGTACGTGGTACGTAACTGTTGTACAGGCAGTGCGAGAAATCGGCTTGTTTACGTCGGCTCGAGATTGGCAGAAAGAACGTGGGCGTAAGACTCGTTACTGACGATTGGAGAATGCCTGGAAGGTACTTTTTAAAAATCGTATGTACATATGAATAATTTTTTCTTAACCATACGGTACCCGCAGAAGTTTGTATGACGGAATTTTAAGTACGTTTAGGAAAATTGACGTTGATAAAAGTGATTACTTTTCGGTTTTGGTAATCAACACATAGAGGTGCTTTTGTGCGGTTGAAAAGATTTTTTTTTTTCTTCGCGACACGAGGACGCGCTAATTGTCGTTATCGCTGGTGATAAAGAAGGAAGGTCGTGTGTATTTGTGAAAAAAAATTGTTTTTTTTTTCACGTTTAATTTACACAGTTATTCCATGTCTTGAAAAAGTGCACTGTCGGTAATGTAGGCATCGGCAGTTACCTCTCGAGTTTGGTTACGGTTTAGTGAGTTTATTAGGTTCACTTAGCGCATTCCGACGATAACTTTTTTCTTTTCTTTACTCTTTCAAGACTGCCTAAGGTTTCCGGAAATTCCTGGTTGGTGGATTTCGAAATGATAGGAATATTAAAATTGCCGGGAATTTACGAAGAAAGAAATTCGTAGAAATCGTTGCCTCACGGGGAATCTTCAGTCCGAGATAAAAATCGTTCCAAGAACGTATGAATAGATTGTGACTCCAAAAATTTCCGAGTCGTCAAAATTCCGAAAAATTGTTTATCGCCCCAAAAAAAAGATAAAATTCTAAATAAACCTTGTTTGTTTCAGGTATGCGTAAAGTTTCTCGAGATATCCGACAATTGGAGCGGAGTCATCAGATTGGGATTCACCAGTAACGATCCGATAAATCTGAGAAACGGGCTGCCCAAGTACGCATGTCCCGATCTGACCAACAAGCCTGGTTACTGGGCTAAGGCATTGGCCGAAAGATTTGCCGAGAGAGACACGGTTCTGTTCTATTATGTGACACTGGCGGGCGACGTGCACTTCGGCGTGAACGGCGAGGAGAAGGGCGTCTTCTTCAGTGGCGTCGAGACGCGCGGTCCCCTGTGGGCGATAATCGACGTCTACGGCAACAGCACGGCCATCGAATTCGTCGATCCTAACCGTCAGCACTTCAACAATATACGAAGAGGCGCTGAGCACAGCAACGAGGACAATGCGCAGCACAGTAGACATTCAGCAATGGATGACGCCAGCAACGCTGGCAGGGACCTGGACAGGATCATCGTACCCACCATGCAGAACATGTCCATCCATCATGAGCCCGACGTTGATCTGCCTGGTCTGAGGTTTCAGCCCTCAGGAGTACTCTTCACACCTCTACCATTCCATCCGTAAGTAGTCAGGCTGACAAGCACGCGATTTTCTCTAGACGCAGAGTCCATTGGCTGATACTGATTTGTCTCTTTTTCTTTTCATCCGACGCTCACGTAGAACAAGAGGCAGGAACATCCGGTTCAGCAACCAGCAGTGCGTGGCGACGCGAAGCGACACCGAATTCTGTCACGGTTACGCGTTCACCAGCAGACCTCTGTTCCTGGGTGAGAGGCTGGTGGTACAGATCTTGTCGACGGAGCCGATGTACGTCGGTGCCCTGGCGCTGGGTCTGACGTCCTGCGACCCCTCGAGATTGTCCGCCGAAGATCTGCCTGATGACAGTGATCTTCTGCTGGATCGGCCCGAGTACTGGGTGGTGTCCAAGGACGTCGCGTCGAGTCCCCAGCCTGGTGATGAGATAGCCTTCACGGTGACCCACTACGGCGAGGTTCAGATGAGCAAGAACGGGGGTCAGCCCAACGTGGTGATGCACGTGGACCAGAGTCTCCAGCTGTGGGCCTTCGTCGACGTTTACGGGTCTACCCAGAGAGTCAGGATGCTGGCCAGTCGTCCGTCCTCGCCGCCGCGCACCAGGCCCAGCAGCCAGTCCCAGACGCAAAGTCAGCAACAGAACCAGCAACACTCTAATCACAGTAACGCCGCCACTGAGCTGTCCAGATTCAGCGAGATGGTACAGTTCAAACCAGCCGTAGGGGGCGGTACTGTCCTGGTGGTTAACCTACCTCCTCAAAGTGGTTATCCAACACCACCTCCACCGACGCCTCAGCCCGTCTACGCCTCGGCTGCTCATAGAAATCCACCGCCTGTACATCATCCCCCACCACCTCCGGCGTCCTCGTCGATCACCGGACCAGCGTCTCATCCTGGATCGTCAAGGCAGTCTCCACCATTGACCGGCACCATGGCCAGCACGGGATCCTCGACCTACGTTGATCCTGTCTCGTATCAGAGTCTAGAAGGCACCCTGACGTCTCAGGCGTCGTCCCACCTTCAACAGTGGAGCGAGGGTCTTCAGCCGACGCCTGGTCAGCCAAGCGAGTGCAGCATCTGCTACGAGAGGAACATCGACAGCGTTCTCTACATGTGCGGACACATGTGCATGTGTTATCCCTGTGCCATTCAGCAATGGCGCGGAAAGGGTGGTGGACATTGTCCGTTGTGCAGAGCTCCGATAAGGGACGTTATCAGGATCTACAGATCCTGAAGAAGGATAAACAGGGATTTTCGTGACGACGGTGTTTATTATCATGTGAGAGACGCGCGGGACTCTGTCAATTAAGATGTCAATAGGGTGTGTGCTTTTTTTTCCTTGATATACTATTGCGACCCGGAGACAATTGTACCTAAGCGTTACCCTACTCTGTCACGTGGAATTTCAAAATCCTCTATTAATCTGGCCAACTATTGACCTCCAGGAGTTTCATTCCTGATGAGGTCAATTTCTTTGTATGTATATTACGTGTATCTAGGAGAACGTGCTTCCATAGCCGCTACACTGCCACCTTGTAACTGTCCTGAAACCCCCTTTGTGAATTCCTATCCGTTTTGTCATCCAATCGATTCCCACAAGTAGTTCCCTGCTCCCTATGGACTTTCAATTCCAATTGTTTCACTTTCTTTTTCCTGTCCCCTCGCAAACAGTGTTTTAGGCTGAATTTATTGTACTTGTATACGATTGTCAAGGGACTCTTTTTTATTCCTCGAAACGATCAGTGACGATGGGTGCCATCTTCGCGCATGCGCACTACTCGATCAGTCATACCGTTTTATTTTATTTCGTCGATCAGTAATAAACAACGTGTTTTTATCCTATAACGTGAATTTTATCAAACCCCTTTTCAATGCTCAGGTAATAAGACGCTTTGTTACGTCGTACAGGCTGATTGATTTTGTTTTTAAATTCAAATACGCAATTTACACGGCATACGGGGTTAGTCTCATGACGTAAATTAGCGAGTCAAGTTTTATATGAAAAAGTGGGCGTACATTTTTTATAGATAATTTATATGGATACAGCAAGAGCGATGCGATATAGAATATCGATTATTGGCAATTTTCGCTGATCGAGAGAAATGGATAAATTATTATAAGAAAAAAAAAATATTCCCTCACGAAATTTTCTTTTGATTCTTTAACGCTACGATTAGATATTGTTTTCTTTTTTGTCAGCTACTTATGATTAACGTGACTTTTGTATCTTCCCTTTTTCTTTTTGTATTGCTCATTGCGTCACTAGAACGCTTTCCTCTTGTCTTTTGTCGAAAGTTTCATTTCTAACGCCGTCCCTGCGGTTAATTAGCATCGGAGCGTGAGAAAAAGAAAGAAAAAAAAGAAAAAACAATTGTCGTCAACCAATAGAGCGAAACGGGTAGTCGTTGAGCGACCCAAGAGAGGTCGTCCATAAAAAAAAAAAAAAAATCGCAAGAAGTCGCAGATAATAAAAAGAAAAGCAAACGATGTCCGAGATAAATCTCGTCTCATTAATGTTATTTTTATTATTAATTATTTGCTATTTGCCTAGACGTGTTACTCGAACTTTTATTATTAATTGCTACTCGTCACTATACATATACGATTACTTGTCTTATTATATTATATTGCATTGCTATCGTCATTAAGAGGTCGTCCAAAAAAAAAAAAAAAAATCGCAAGAAGTCGCAGATAATAAAAAGAAAAGCAAACGATGTCCGAGATAAATCTCGTCTCATTAATGTTATTTTTATTATTAATTATTTGCTATTTGCCTAGACGTGTTACTCGAACTTTTATTATTAATTGCTACTCGTCACTATACATATACGATTACTTGTCTTATTATATTATATTGCATTGCTATCGTCATTATTATTAATTATTAACTATTAATTGCTAATACCATTATTACTATTAACTATTTGTCGTCATTAATTAGTCGCATTATTTTTTATCTATTATTATTTAAAATAGCGCCTAATCGCAACAGCGTGGACGTTAACTTTCGTTGGAGTGCTATCTTTTTTCTTTTTCCTTTTTTTTTCACTTTCAAAGGTCATTTTCGAAAAATCGCCTTTTCTCCGTCTCTCTGTCACACGTAATCTTATCACTTTACTCTTTTCTCTTCTTTATTCTTGCCCAAGAATCTTTTCTTCCTTTTTTCTCAATTCTCTTTTTATTCTTACTCTTTCTTACTCCTGACTCCAATACTTGTCACTTTCGCTCTCGATGACTAATTGTAAGTCGTGTGCTGCTTCTTTTTTCTTTTTTCTCTTTTGCATCGACGCGAAGCGTTACCAAAGAAAGGGAATGCGAAAGAAAGTAATGAAACGGTGTACAGTGTATGTGTGGGTACGACGGAGAGCGCATAGAAGAATGTAGGAAGCGATTGTACGAATTTTTATTGAAATTTCAAAAATTATCTTGACGTTGCTTCTCTTTCTCTCTTCTTTCTTGATCTCCGTTTACAATTCGACAATGCGTTTATCTCAGTTTTCTTTCCTTCGCGAAAGATCCCATATAATATTTTATCCGATGACAATTGCAAATCGAAAAATTTTGTAAGGTTATGTCAGATATCAAAAAAATTTCTTTAATTCACGAAATGAAGAAAAACTTAATGCAAGTCGACGGGAATTTCAAAGATTTATCGAAATGACTTTTTGAAATTCCCGTCGCATATAATTTTCGTATATTACCCCCTTTACAATTTACTTGTATGAATTTTTTTTTTTTCAAAAATATTTTCAAATCCATTTTCACTCATACGCACAATATGGACAGAAGAGAGAGGGTCTAAGGGGGGCTATGACGTGGGAAGCAAAAACAGAAAGATAGACAAGAGTAGAACGTAATTGAAAACTAAGAATACTATAAGTCAAAATGACAAACCGGCGAATGCGTTAAAATAAATGTAAAAGATTATCGGAGAGCTAATTATGAATATTAGGAGAAACAAAAAAAATAACTAAATAACTGAAGATGAAGGCAAAGAGCGCAGGCAATAAAAGTAGTAGTGAAAATCTCTAGTCCAGCGAGCGGCAGCCCAACTCGATATATTCTGCCAATCCAAAAAGTGTGAAAGGAAAAGCAAAAAAAAAAAAGAGAAGGACGTCGATTTAATAATAAAATAAAAGCGATAAAAACGAAGGAGGGGTCAACTAATTAAAAACGAACCAGCATATAAAGCTGAAAGGGCTGAATAATGTAAAGCAGAAGCCACACGCCTAACGAATTAAACGGAGGCTAGACACCGTGGCCTTTAGTAGGTTGCCAACTAATTACTCAAATTTAGTAAAAAAAAAGTAAATAAAAAAAAACAGATTAGAAAATCGATAAAACGAGAAACAGACGGCGGTTGGTGTAACGAGTGAACCTATACGATAAAAATAAGTAATAAAAATAATAGTTCGCCAATAATGCCGAGAGAATAATGAGAATATGGAATTTGTATGGCGTGTATGGGGCGATAGGGGAATATCCATAGACGGTAAAAAAAAAGAATAAAAAATAAATTGGCACGAAATTACGAAAAGAAAAAATTGAAAAAAAAAAAATGAAGCTGAAAAGCTATCGGCGGCCACTTATTTTAAATATTAGCAAATCAGTTGGTACGATTGAAGGGGCGAAAGGGGGAGAGGAGGGCGAATGTGAAATTGCAACGTATGTAATGGAGTGTGTGCTTTTTGTAAAAGAAAAAATTGATAGCGGAGCGGCGGGAGATAAGGAGTGATAGCGAATAAAAAATGTTCCAAAAAATTTCGAAAATTATTAATTAAGTACGCACTGGGCAGTTGTGGCGAATGATAAAAAAATTTTTTTAAGATTAATTCAATGTTTATTATTAATTGTCGCCTGTTGCTCTTCGATCTTTTTGTCTTGCTCTGTCTTTTTATTATTATTATTATTATTATTACTCTCCCTATTAATCATTATTATTATTATTATTCATTCTCCTCAATCTCAATTGTCGTCGTTATCTGTCGTCTTATACCTACGAATTATTATTAATTATTATTCCTATATTTTTTCTTTCTTCCTATTTTATAACTGCGAATTAATTAACCGCTATCTATATCTAATCATCGTATCGCGCACCTAGTAAGGATTATTTAATTTGCGATTCTTTTTATCGTCCGCGCTTAACGAGCTTTATCCTTTCTTTCTTTTCTTTACTAAAAGAGGGTATATTAATATATCGTTTATTCAAGATCTTATGTAAAGTCTTGATTAATTTTTATTTAATTCTCAACCCACTGAGAGATACACGGAAACACACACACTCCTTACCAATAGTGTATAAAATACAAAAAACTCGAAAAAATATACATACATGTGTCCGAGACACGGGAAAAGGAAAATGGCCGAGTCGTATCTGGACCGTGAATTTTTGTCTATAATTTTTTTAATATATATATATATATACATACATACGATTACGTGCATATTCACATAAGCGGGATACATCATAAGACGGATGTTTGAATCTCCGAATTGGTTTTTTACCATTTCATTTCTTTTCTCTCTCTCTCTCTCTCTCTCTCTCTCTCTCTCTCTCTCTCTCTCTCTCTTTATTGTCTTTCTTTCTCTGTCTGTCTTTTTATCGTCGTTCTCTTCAGTGTAAAAATTTACGACGCCCAATGAAATTTATACATATGTAATATAACTGGTGGTGACCGTGAGCAGCCACCACTATACAATAAAAATCTGTAATATCGAGGAATTTGTTAGTCTGACTTTTATTTACTCCTTAACCATAATCCCTTAAATTTTATACTTGATTTCTGTATATTTTCGGTTTTCGTATAATTTTGCAGTCTTGAAATACATATCGATTGTGAGTATGGAGAAATTTGAAAAATTTGTAAAAACCCGCCAATGGGATTATTTGTTTATCCTGTAAAGGCACATCACGCTAATGTGACCTCTGAACCCGCTGTAAATCATGTTGCCACTCGCTGTTTCAGTTTACTTGCAGTATTACTTCTGTCGAATACTGTTTAATAATCCAAAATTTCAGTCAAAAGTGTGCTCAAAGATATTTTTGGTGAATATTCGGTAAATTAAAAGATGCCTTGCGAAGTCATAACACTACAGCTGGGTCAGTGTGGAAACCAGGGTGAGAAATTTGGGTGATTTGTAAAATAAAATGCGATGGTGCAAATTTTTTGAAATTTTTATTTAAAGAATTTTACACTTTTCATACAGTCGGTTTTGAATTTTGGAAACGTCTCTGCGCCGAACACGCTATCAATCCTGAAGGGAACCTGGAGGATTACGCAGTTGACGGAATCGACAGGAAGGACGTATTTTTCTATCAGTCAGATGATCAGCATTACATACCCAGGGCCGTACTGTTGGATCTGGAGCCCCGAGTGATCAATACCATAATGACGTCACCATACGCCAAGGTATCCGAGTAGTCTGATTATTCGAAAATTTTCAAACATCATTACCAAAGGATATTTCAGCTTTACAATCCGGAAAATATTTATACGTCAAAACATGGCGGAGGAGCTGGAAACAATTGGGCTTCTGGTTATCATCAGGGTGAGAAATTGCAGGAGGATGTATTTGAAATTTTGGACAGAGAGGCGGAGGGTAGCGACAGTCTGGAGGTAATATTATTTAGTTTTCTATTAACCTGTACACACTAGGTCACGTGATGAATCAAATTTTATTATTTTTAAGGGTTTCGTCGTTTGTCATTCAATCGCCGGTGGTACTGGATCAGGAATGGGGTCCTTTGTTTTGGAAACACTTGCCGACAGATTTCCTAAAAAGCTACTGCAAACCTACAGCGTATTTCCGAATCAGGACGAAATAAGGTATCTAACAATTCTATGGTTGCGGGTTATTGTTAAAACGTTATTGACCCACTAATTCTTTTGGGAAATTATTATTGTTATTTGTACTTACCGAAGATTCCTTTGTTTCATCAAGCGACGTCGTTGTTCAACCTTATAATTCGTTGCTGACTTTAAAGCGACTTACACAATGTGCTGATTGCGTAGTCGTTCTGGACAATACTGCTCTGAATCGCATTGCCAGTGACCGTTTGCACGTGCAGAATCCAAGTTTTGTACATATCAACAAGCTCGTGTCTACAATAATGTCTGTCAGCACAACTACTCTGAGGTATATACGAGTGATGTTTTGAAGAAAGATTTTTTTCTATGGGAAATAATATTTTTGTGGACATTTCTTACTTTTAGATATCCTTCCTATATGAACAACGACCTGGTTGGATTATTGGCACCGTTAATTCCCACACCTCGTTTACATTTCTTGATGACTGGTTACACGCCGCTTTCTACCGATGAAGAGGTACTCGACTAATTTTTATTTTTCTCTCGCGAAATTCTCCTTTACCATCTTTTTATCGACCAGTACTCAGCAGCGCAATATCTGTTTTCTACTTTATCATGCAGCAGGCTCCGTCGGTAAGGAAGACCTCCGTTCTCGACGTGATGCGTCGGCTGCTTCAGCCAAAGAACATGATGGTGTCCACAGCCCACGACAGAAATGCAACTCATTGCTTCTTGTCAATCCTTAATATAATTCAGGTAACCATTTAATGATTGAACCATGTTCGATTTGCAGGTGGCATTTTAATTATAAATCATTGATTCCTCCAGGGTGAAGTTGACCCCAGTCAAGTGCACAAGTCATTGCAGAGAATCCGTGAACGAAAACTGGTGCAATTTATACCATGGGGTCCGGCCAGTATACAGGTAGCGCTTTCACGGAAGTCACCCTATATAGAAAGTGCACACAGAGTATCAGGCTTAATGTTGGCCAATCACACTAATATATCCTCGGTTAGTGTATTTTTCACAGTAATGATTTTATCAGAAGTTGATTATGTATTTTGAGGGATTATAAATTATTTTTAAATTATCCCGCGCAGATTTTCGACAGGGCTCTGAGGCAGTACGACAGACTGCGTAAGCGTGAGGCTTTTTTGGAACAATTTCGGAAGGAGAAAATGTTCACTGACAATTTGGATGAGCTCGATAGCTCGCGCGAAGTCGTCGAGACGCTTGTCAAGGAATACGAAGCTGCTGCCAAAAGTGATTATCTTAGTTGGAATTCAAAAGTTTAAGCCTAGTATTAATTAATTGTTTCCAGTATCTATTCTAGTTACCAGTATAGCATCTAGTTGCAAAATAAATTGAATAATTGAATCAATAATTTAATTACTTCCTTACCGCGCCAATCTGACGTACTTATGCATCATCGAGAATACTGACATCTGTGAACTGAAGCATTTATTATTTCGTTAACGAGGAATTTTATTTTAAGTTGTCAAGGCATCATCAGATAGCCAAGCACGACGCCCAGGTCTATTTACCTGTTCAATTACCGCCTCCAGAACCTCAATCGGTATCCGTGAAACTTTCACAGAGTATTACTACACCGACAGAAGGTAAGTACTGATTATTACCACGTAGTTCAATAACTTTAGCGCTATAGTACACATATTATTTAAAACTTATAAAAGAAAAACTTCAAAATAAACCTCAAACTTATCCTAGTCACAAGCCATATGAGGAGGTCACACGAAGTCACCTTACAATCTTGCACCAAGCCTCAAAGTACATTGGATCCGTATATCTATAAATTTTGCCCATCTACTACACCTATTAGTCAAAACAGAACTATAGAACTCCTCGAGAACTATTGAAAAAGCCTATTGTTGAAACATTTTTAAGAGGTGTCACGAGCTGCCTCGCGCTTCCGTGCTATCTGTTTATAGTTTTTCTAGCCGTGTTTCGATACAGTGTAGCAAGTTCTCGCTCGTGTAGTTCTCGCGTTGCTCTCGCGATATCCAGGAAATTCTGTGGATTTTCTGTGAGTGTTCCGGAAGTGCAGTGCTGTGCCCTAGTGCAGTGTCCACGTGAGTCTCCTCTGGATACAGTTCTCGGCCTTCAGGGATTAGCTGTACCAGCTCCGGTGAGCACCCCCAATTTATTAATTGGTGAAGGGGTTTCGAATTGATACGTCCGATTCGTTCTGATACATTTTCGATCCGTTGCTCTCTCTCTCTCGCACTATTTGCCTGATGATTATTCCGACCCTCTCTAACTCAACCTAGCAGCCTGAGCGGCCGTGCATTTCTAAATGCCTAAAACCATAGCGTTGTGCATCTCCCTACTCACCTCTGCTTATAATACCATAAAACAACACAGCGACAAATTAATACACAACATCACTAGCCAAACTGTAAGTACAGAAGAAAAATTTGACTACCATATAATGAAGATATGATTTATTTAGTCGAACTGTGCGCCGCTGCATCGCAATCCATGGATATCCAGAGATAATAAAACGGGTGCAACAGGGGGATGCAACTAGTCGAGAATAGTTTATGTGGATTGCATGCTCCGAGTAGCGAACGGAAGGTGGTACAGTCCTATGCACTCTTTGATGGGTTGGGCCACCCTGTAACGCCACCCTTTCTAGGAGCTTCTCTAATGCTACCCGATCCTGGCATGGCATGGTACCGGCATACAAATTGTCCCTGGCGATGAGCTACATAACCTACGTCCCTGGAATAATGATAAACCCACATAAAAATATTCTGAGCCACGTAAAATTTTCACGTTCATCCTAATTTATTATCTTTCATCCTTTCTCGGCATTTTTTAAACTTTTCAAACTGCCCACAGCCCATTATGTCCTCGGGACAATTAGTACCTATTGATATCGACCATTTTTATATTTAAGTATTTCGATGAGGCACTCCTAACCGTTATCTCAACACAACCGTTATTCGTGTAAAAAGTACGTGTAACATGTTTCGTAAGGCTCGTTACTCTCTCGTACGACTGCAATGATTCCAAAGATGGACTTGCTCCCATTCTCATAAATACATTAATCAACATTACTATTGACATGGAATATCAATCATTGAATATTTTAATACACCAAATAACCCCGATTGAATCATAGATTCGTGTCACGACGCGCGTACCATATTCAGGTGGCTATTGTGCATTCTATACCCGTTATTAAAAGACCCTTCACATCAATACTGTTTTCTATCATGACTATCCCAATCCTAATTTATACAGGGTTATTCAGGCCGGACGCACTAACCGAAGCACCGTCTAGCGGAATTTTCGGGAACTAACAAAAATACTCCCCAGGTAAATGTAAATTTAGCGCCATGCTTTTGGTAACGCCTAAAACCGTAGCGTTGTGCATCTCCCCTACTCGTTTATGTGCGAACAATTTAAATTGAGAGTGCTGTCGCGGTGGCGTATAGAAATAAAGAAAGAGCGAAGGAGATAAGAAAGGTAAAGAAATATGAAATTAAGAATGTAAGGAATAGGAGTATAGCAGTAAAGGGAGAGAGATAAGGAATAAACAAAATGCATATAAAAAGTAGAATAGAAGTTGATAAGACGGGAGTAACCAAGAAACTCGTATAAAAGACCAGCTCTCCATCCCCAGGTCCTGCTTGTCAAATCTGCATTTCGACAAATTTAGTATCTTCCAGTACTTTTGAGTTGGCACCTCTGTACTTTCTTACCCGTTGATATCAGTGATGCTGTCAGTAGACTCCGCTACCCGTTTTATATCTTATACCTTATATACCCACGATCATGCGTTTATATCCTACGTTTAGATATAGCCTACAATGCTGCGCTTTACGAAACGAGCTTTTCTCATCGAGCTTTAGGATGTGTGCCCACGCCAGAGATGAGTTTCCTTTGACGCCATGCTTTTTTTTTGTTATATCCTCACTACTATGCGAATTAGGCCAACGCGTTGGTGCTTCCTTTCATTTATTTCTGCCCAGCTTTTTTTTTAGAGTCGACAATGGCGAAGACGACCGAAAGCTTTAACGAGCGTAAGCTTTTCGGTAATGCTCGGTGGGTAGTGGAGCGACAACGAAAAATTACTGCGTCGCTTTACTACACTCGTATCACAATGTTAGGGTTTTGTTCAACCTGCAAAGGTATATGCTATAACTCTTATCTTTGAGGTTAATCGAAAGTTTGTAGTTCACTATTAAATTTCAACAGTGAACTTACTTGAGGAATTATATGAATCGTTACAGAGTCAAGGGGTGACAGGAATCTATGTTAAAATTTTAATAATTCTTAGTTACTATGCGATCAATAGTAATTTAGTCCACATGCTGCTACTGAAAAGATTTGTAATGGAGTGGAAATGACCACCGTGAGAGTTTTTACATTAGCTTTTTGTAATTTGTCCCTTGTCAATAGCACAGAGAGTTGTACCTTCAACGTATGAGGACATTTATGAGCCAAAGTTTTGGTGTATACATTTTATTCAAATTGTACAGAAGCTTGGGCAATAACACTACAAAAAGTATACTGATAACAAAAAAAAACAACAAAAAAAGAAACAAGTACATAGACAAAACATTGTACAGTTCTAAAAGTAATACAAAGTTTGGTACAGTCGATTCGTTCGTTCATCTCACGTATTTTTGTGACAGAAGCGTATTAATAGACGGAATAGAAAAAAAAGAATAGAAAAATAAAAAATGTATATGTACATAACCTATTCATTGACTTCTGTCACAAAGTTAATATGGATTTTCGTTACTACAAGCACGTAATGATTTGCCTGTGCCTCTTTGTATAAAACTTTCTTCTTAAAATTAATTCTCCTCGTCACCTTCGCCACCTTCGCTGGAATCCATGCCAACCTCCTCATAATCTTTTTCCAAAGCTGCCAAGTCCTCCCTGGCCTCATTGAATTCACTTTCGTCCATACTTTCCGCCATGTACCTGATGGATCATAATAATTAATATTTGAATTATCATACAATCAGTATATAACGAGTAATTCAGGCCAATCGCACCAACTGAGGTTAAAATCTGTCCATCTGACTTTGAAGATATAATCAAATTCAGTTGATGCGCTTGTACCGAATTCCTGTATAGCCTTTGAATACAGTACCAGTGAACGAAAGCTTTCTTGCCAAACATAAGATCAAACTTTCGATTGAGTCTCGTCCAGGCTTCAGCAATGGCTGTGGTATTAGCCAGCATAGCCATAGCTCGTTGCACCTTAGCAAGATCACCACCAGGAACGACGGTAGGTGGTTGATAGTTGATACCAACTTTAAAACCCGTAGGACACCAATCGACAAACTGTATAGTGCGTTTTGTCTTTATGGTAGCAATCGAGGCATTTACATCTTTCGGGACGACGTCTCCTCTGTACAGCAAGCAACAGGCCATGTATTTACCACGACGTGGATCGCACTTGACCATCTGATTGGCTGGTTCGAAACAAGCTGAGGTCAGTTCCATGACAGTTAATTGCTCATGATAGGCCTTTTCCACAGAGACGATTGGTGCGTAGGTCGCCAATGGAAAGTGAATTCTGGGATAGGGTACCAGGTTGGTCTGGAACTCGGTGAGGTCGACATTGAGAGCACCGTCGAAGCGTAAGGAGGCTGTAATCGACGATACGATCTGACCGATTAGTCTGTTCAGGTTGGTGTAGGTCGGTCGTTCAATGTCCAGATTGCGTCTGCAGATGTCGTAGATGGCCTCGTTATCGACGAGGAAAGCACAGTCCGAATGCTCGAGGGTGGTGTGGGTTGTCAAAATGGCGTTGTAAGGCTCTACGACAGCGGTCGAGATCTGGGGCGACGGATAGATTGCGAACTCGAGCTTCGACTTTTTCCCGTAATCCACGGAGAGGCGCTCCATTAGCAGGGACGTGAACCCAGAGCCGGTGCCACCGCCGAACGCATGGAATATTAGGAATCCTTGGAGTCCGGCACACTGATCGGCGATCTTCCTTATGCGATCCAGTACCAGCTCTATTATTTCTTTACCCAGGGTGTAGTGACCACGGGCGTAATTGTTGGCAGCGTCTTCCTTGCCGGAGATCAATTGTTCTGGGTGGAACAGCTGGTGATAAGTTCCCGTACGGACTTCGTCTGTTGGATAGGGTCATGTTAGTGGAAAAAAAGATACTGTATGAACCTAGTTACTTATAGGTTAGATTAACCGATTTCAAATAGTAGTGTGTTCCTTCCTTCTCCTAATGAATTTTTCCCTCGTGGGGTCATGCCTTTCTAAAGAGTCTAAAGCAGTGTACTGAGCTTGTAGTTTAAAATAAAAATTGTACGGTACCGTTGTAGGAATGCATTACCGATGACCGTGGGTTCCAGGTCGAGGAAGACGGCCCTGGGCACGTATTTTCCGCCGCCGGTCTCGCTGAAAAATGTCTGGAAACCTTCGTCGTTTGTACACGTTTGAGGCGGCAACATTCCGTCGGGTTGGATTCCGTGTTCCAGACAGTAAAGTTCCCAGCATGCATTTCCCATCTGGACGCCACCTTGGCCAATGTGTATGGAGAGTACCTCACGCTGTATTTTGTTTAATATTAAAATATTTATATAAATAAGATTTCAAGAGGAGACGGCTTTAAACAAACTCCTCTATGAGTGCAATATGGTACACTGTGTATATCATAAGTTATCTCATTTTTAAATGCACTTTTGACAATGAACCGTTACTATTAAATATTTTACACTTCTTATGTAACATATCTGTTGCTGAAAGCTAACGTGTATCGAAGTAGACTGATATTTACCATTTTGAGAAAAAATAATATTAAAAAAAAAGAAATATCGAGGCGTGAGATGAACGAACGTAAGATCTTGTTACGTTGGAGTACGATGCCAAACTGACGTGATAAAAAATTGAAAAATTGGTCAATAAAATTTTTACCTCGTTGCCCCGGGTTACCGGGTCGATTGTCAATTTTGAAAAAAAAATTCCAAAGGTACCAAACTCAATCGTTTTTCCGTAGCAGAGTTAACTCTTGTTAAAATTCAAACATAAAATTCGTAGCACGTTGGTGTAGATTTTTTTTTTTTTTGGCAAACAATGTCTCGTTTCGATAAGCAAGGCAGAGCACGTGAAATTGTCCTAAATTTTCGAAACCATCTTCTCCCCGATTAGGATGCACAACGCGAATGCATTCTTGCATAAAAATAACGCACTGTCTGCCCCACTGTACATTTTTCCGAAATTTCACGTCGTTTCGTTGGCAACCCTTTTACCGTTTTTTAACGCTTTTTTTTTTTATCAGCATTTTTACTCCTTTCACGTAGTTACTTCGTATTCTCGTGATTCGGTACAACCTTCTTCCTCGTATTAATACATATTAAGAGACCGGAATTCACTGGCTCAAAAATTTCTAGGATATTAACGAGTGAAAGATTTCAAAGGTTATTTGCCAAAATCCCTAGTGAGTATGTGCCAAATATATATGTAAAATTCAAAAAGTATTAGAGGTACCCAAAGGATAAGCTCGAGGCAGACATCTTGGTTTGCGATATTACCAGGTTTTACGTGCGGTTTCTCGAGTTTACATTGGCGAGAGATTACGTGTCTGTAACGTTCTCGAAAATATGAAGTATTAGACTCGAGTACAATTTTCAGCAAAGTCGTACAGACAGACAAAGGAGAGTCGAACAATATCCAAGAATATTTCAAATCCTTATTGTGCGTTGCATCCTGGCAATAAAACGTTGAGAAGACAAAAAATCTCTATAATATTTCAAAGGGCTTCGGCTTCCCGTTCGAAAGGCATAGCCAAGAAAGAAAGATAGAAGATGGAGCTCTCTTAGAAGAAAGCCGGATTTTTCTCAAAGTCCCTTCCTTCGTAGGTTTCTAATTGATTTATCTTCGCGCTCGCTCGTCCCTTCCGTTTCTTCAGCTTTCTTCTTTCTTTCTTTTTCCTGTTTCGCTCTCCGCTCTTGTGTTCTTATCAGTCTGCACCTGTACTTCTTTCTTTCTTCCTCTTTCTATTTAGCTCCTTCAATCCATCCACAGTCTCGGGGACAGCATGGAGCCCCTTTCATTCTGCTGGAAATTTATAATTTTTGTTACTATTTTATTTCAATTTCACATTTCCGATAAGAAATACCTGATTTTTTTTCGGTATTGACTTTTTAAATTTATGCGTGTCTTGGGAGTGGGGAATGTGGTGGTGCTGAAATTGCTTTGGGTAAAAAAACCACTGGGGTGGCTCGATAACAATAATCATAATGGGGTAATGGGTACTACGTTCCTTTATCGAAATGATTTTTTTATAAATAAAAATACTGTAAACCACTAATGGTAACCAGCACTTGCCCATTTAAAGAAAAAATAATTTTTGCATGAAGCTTTTGTTTTTTGACTTTCTAAACTTTTACCTTTCTTTTCCCCCTTTATTTTCACGCAACTTCCGGTTCTGGGTGGGAAACGATTTATATTCAAGACAACGCTCTCTGCGGACGACGCACGAGTGCGGTTATGGGTCGAAGTCAATAAAAAAAAAAAAAAAAAAAAAAAAAAAAAAGAA